TACCACATCTACCATTTAACTCAGTGTACAGCACTAGAATATTCCTTTAAAGTCTTTCAGCCTTATACAAAATGTAAGGTGTACATACAGACATATACCCACAGAAGAGAAGCTTTAAGGTGAGTGAGTGTGCGTGTGTGTAGAAGGAAGGAGAGTGAGACAGTCTTCAGTTTCCTGTCTGATACATCAATAACTTTTCATGCTCTAATCCTTATGGACTGGCTACAGATCTAAGGGCCACTCACACTAATATCACATACAATAGTTTGTTTATGTCATAGGTGGGATTTGGGGGTTTTGTTTTTGTTTAGATTTTATACATGAACACTGCTACATCACTCCCATTTCCCAACCAACTCCACCCCTGTCCCCTCCCCAATTCATGATCTCTTACTTTACTGTTTTATATAAAGATATAGATATATAACCAATATATATGCACAAGTGTACATGCTTACGGATAACCTATTGAGTCAGTTTATCTTTGATCCTATGTATGTGCTAGGGCTGACCCCTTGGGATTGGACAGCCTATATGGGAGCTCATGCCTGGAAGAAACTGATTTGCCCTCTCTCAGCAGCCATTGACTACCTGTAGCCTTTTATCTAGGGTTGGAGCCATGTGGAATTTGTCTGTGTTGGCCCATTAAGTGGTGTTATCATTAGGTTGATCTTGTTCATGCAACCATATTGAGAGTTATGGGTACATTTTCTCTATCATGTCTAGGGGACGCTATCTAATGGTAGACACTCTGGGATGCTGTTTCTTCCCATCTTTCTGCTCCCTCTTCTGTGATTTTCATTGAGCCTTAAATGTAGGGTTTTCAATGCAGATGTGATCAGTTGGGTTGGGGCACCCCACAGTCTCTAATTCTCTGAATTTTCACCGGTTACAGAGCTCTGTAATTGTCTCCATCTTTTGTAAAAAGAAGCTCGTTTGATGAGGGGTGGGTGAAAGCTGCAGTGACCTGTGGATATATGGAGAAATGTTAGAGAACAGTAAGAAACGATGCTAGTTTAGGACACAGGCAGTAGTAGGTCTTCTCCGATCTATGACATCTCTGTTCATGAGCGGCTGGCTAGGTTTACAGTACCATGCACGAATACCTTTGTATTCGTAACCGTCTTTTAAAATAAGAAACACAGAGCCAATTGCAGAGTTTAAAAGCCCAAGAGGTCAGAGCAATAGCTAAGAGCTAAAAACCTTACCCTTCACTGCCGCTGCTGTCCTCCTCAGCCGCAAGAGACCTACTTCCTGTGTGTTTGCCCTTTTTATTGACTTTCTATTCTGTCTTCTCATTGGTTATAAACCCAATCACATGACCTCCTCGTCACTGCCCGTCTATACAGACCTCCAGGTCTTCTATAGTTGGTATTGAGATTAAAGGTGTGTTTCTCCATGCCGGTGGTATCCTTGAACACACAGAGATCTGCCTGTCATGTGATCGGGACTAAGGGCGTGTGCTACCACTACCAGACTTCTGCTATGGCTTGCTATTAGCTCTGACCCCCAGGCAACTTTATTTATTAACATACAAATAAATTCACATTTCGGTACAAATAAAATGTCACCATATACCTTCCTGCTGACTGGACCACACATCCAATTAGACAGCTGTGGGTCACCCCCAAGATAAGAGTACCGCTACTGCACCATTGGGGATGCCTTGCCAGGCTGGTCAGACACCTTCTTCCCTCTATTGCTTTCCACCTTATTTTCCCCCCGCAGGATCTCTCGGCGAACCTGGAGCTCACCCACTGCACAGGACCGCCTAGCTGGCCAGTCCACCCCAGTGAGCCTCCTGGCTTTGCCTCCGCACTGTTAGACTCTGGGAGGGAGCACGCTGCCGAGCCAGGCTTTGGCCTGGGTGCTAGGGAGCCAAACTCAGGACTTCAATCGAGTGCAACTAACACTCTACCAACTGAGCTACCTCTCGAGGCCCTCGGTCATTTTTTAAACATACTATTTTTATTCTATGGAATGTCATACATGAGTATGATATATTTTGATTATATTCATCCCCAGTGCTCCCAGATCCATCCCCAACTCTTCACCCTCTCCCAAGGTGTCCTTTTTGTCCTTTTAATCCCATGGAGTCTAATTTGTGCTGCCCATATACCCATGGGTGTTGGACCATCCACAGGAGAGTAGTAGGCCCCTCCCCCATGGGCCACACCCTAAAACTGCTCTCCCAGAAGCTATCAACTGCCAACCGCCCCTCAGCTGGGGGTGGGGACTCAAGGCCTTCCCGCTCCATTCTGGGATGTCGCCTGACTTGATCTTGTGCAGGCCACTACAGTGGCTGTGAGTTCATGGGTCCTGTCATGTCCAGAAGACACTTCCGGTCTGGTCCTCCCTGACCACTGGCCCTTATGATCTTTCTGCCTCCCTTCCTCAGGGGTCCCGAGTCTTGTCAGGGAGGGGACTGTCATTCTTAAATGTGCTCAGTCAGTTGGATCATGATGAGGTCATTAACTCAAGCCCCATTTCTCAAGTATAAGAGGACAGTGGCTTTGAGAGGGACGTAGAAGAGGGTGGGGCGGGATTCCCACAGAAGCTCTTTAGCCTGGCTAAACCACCTTTCGCTGCTCCAACTGGTCATGTGAAATTGGAACTTTGTTCCCGGTGTCTTCTCAGGATTCTGTCACGTTCTCACAGTTCCCTCCTTGGAGAAACTCTTACTCCCAGGTTAAATTCTTCCATATATGGAGGCAGTTGTGCCATCTTTCATTTTTTCTTATTTTCTTTCTTCTTTGTAAACGCAGCACATGAATCTATTTGTTCTGTTATTCATATAATAAAAGAATACTTTGGGAAAAATTGAATTACACCCCTCTGCACCCACTTGCCCCAAGGACAACAACCGCTGCTGACCATAGAAAAACTGCAGCTGTGGTTCATTTATGGTTGCCCACTTTGAGCTTGTTTGCTTGTTTGTTTGTTTGTTTGGAGAGGGAAACAACTTTAGCATGGAAAGGTTTATTTAACCTCGTGTGAACTCAGAGGTTCCTGCCCGTGTTTGCCTGGCATCATTGCTTCAGTCTGAGCCCAGGAGCAGAAAGCACATGGCCTAGCAGAGACGCTCAGGCCGTGGCCTTCACAAGGTAGACAGGTGAGGAGGGGAGAGGAGAGACATGCACAAGGTAGGCTCTTCAAATTCGCTCCTCACTGACCTATTTCCTCCCACCAGGCTTCATTTCCTAAAACTCCCCTGATGAAATTAGTGCCCTCAGGATCCCGAGGCCCTGGGGTCCTCCCCTCAAAAATGCTGAAGCTTAGGCTTCTCATGAGCCTTAGGGGAGGGGAGGGGTATTGAAGACTTGGCATCCAAACCTTAGCACCCGGCGACACTGACTGATATAACTCAGGCGACACTGACTGGTATAACTCAGTCTAAGAGGAAAAGCCATGTGCTCGCTCTCTACCCTGACATTTCTGTCCTCTTCTCAGGAAGTCCTAGTGCCCAGATGTTGGTTGTGCCCAGGTCCAGGTGGAAGAAACTGTGCCGGTGGTGTTTGCAGGTCTGACGTCTCACTGCAGCAGTGTCTATGACACAGGCTTTCATGCATCTTCCGGTGACCTCCGGCCCTATATTTGGGAAACAACCCACATTCTGGAGACGAGGACTTAGGTGCTTCTCAACCACCACTTCCTGCCAGGAAGGAAGTGTGTATCCGCCTCCTACATCGATCTCGGTCATAGTGTGCTAAACTTTTAAGGTGTCGCCTAGAATTCTCCCCCATCTCATGACATCTCAGACCCTACTTGGCCCCCACCCTGCTCTGCTGAGGTAGCCACGGGGGACGCTGAGAGGAACTGCCAAGATTCACAGTGTTCCAGCAGTTTCTCAGGTCTCAGCGATTCAGGGAAGCGTTACAGAGTCCCCCTCACCCCCCCAATCTGTCCAGTACTCACCTAAGACCAGTGCTGTCCAGGTCTCGAGGGCGCCCCCGCAGAGTTTTGCTCTGTCTGTTGGAAAGACTCCCACGGCGTTCTGGCCCAAGAAGCAAAGATACTCCTCCGCTGGGTGAACATTCCCCCGCCGACTGCCTTCCTTTTTAAGGCTGCACTTCCCAATGATCTTATGACCTGGGCTGTGAGTGGTGGGTGGAGGTAGGGAACGGAGCGGAGAGGGGCAAGGAAGGAGGGAGGAGGCAGAAAAGAGGTTTGGGACCTGGAGGAGAAACTAGGGGATTGGGGATCTGGACAATAGGAAAAAAAAATGCAAAGCAAAATAAGGAACCCCGGGAGGCGGGGAGGGAGGGTTGTGTGTTAAGACTAGAATCAGCAAGCCAGGAAAAACGGGCTTGCACTTCCCGGATCCTAGTGTTAAATCCACTCTCTCATAGAGACACCTATCCTCGCTACACGCCACATGCCAAGAGCGGAACAGAATGAACGTGAGCGCGGGGATTCTTCAGGTTGTAAATTAAGGGGGGAACATGCTTGAAGAAGAAATTGTGGGGTACGAAGGAGGCTGATAATGGATTTGGTCACCTATAGTGAATCAGAGTGTCACTGCCTGTGTGGTTCCATGGTGTAATGGTGAGCACTCTGGACTCTGAATCCAGCGATCCGAGTTCAAATCTCGGTGGGACCTTTCTCTTTAGTCCATTGTAGGATCCATTTTCTTTCATGTTCACAGTCCTTCCTGAGCAGAGGAAGGAAAGGGGAACAGGTCCCGGCATTCCTCCAGCACTAGGTCATTTGCAGGTCACAGATATGTCCCAGCTCTTAGCTCAGAGACACCAGTCTAGTGCATAATAGGGCACCCTGTCCTTGGCCTCCTGCCCAGCCCGGGACTCCCTGTCACATCGGAGCCCCTCCCAGTCCTCAGGTGAGCTGGGCCTGGAAGGGCTCCAGCACCGCGAGGTTGCGCACGCGCCTCCTGGCTGCCGGCACATCCGCGGATCCTTCTCTTGTTTCTGCACCGGATGAAAAGAATTTAAACGCCAGCTAGCCCTTCTCAGCTTGGTGTTGGGTTTGAGCATTTTCAGCGCATTTCAGTTTGTTGAACTCGGAGTTTCGATTGAAACCAGCAGAGGCCGCAAGTTGTCTTTCAGTGCGTCTGACTGGGGAATCTCTTTAAATCCTAAATTTATACAAAAAGCTGAGCCTGGATTTCAGCGCCCCTGGTGGCTGCTCCCGGGCTGCGAGTGGGAAATCACTGCAGCTTCCTTCTGCCAGAACTCTGCGCCAGGACAACTCCGTTGGAGAAGATCGTGGCAATGTTAGAAGAGGATTTAAAGGAGCCTTTCCTATGTAGGTGCCTGAAGACATTTAAAGAATTGTTTTCCTGTGGTTGGAATTTGGGGTAGTTACGAAGTACTGAAAAGTATAAGAGTGCAGTCTGGGATCTAAAAGGAAATGGGAAGACCCAGCAGAGGTGGTTGAAAGAGGCGAGGGAGGCAAAAAGGTCCTAACTCTGCGTCTCCCCTCCCCCAGGTACCCTGGAGGGCGAAAATGCAAGTAAAAGACTTCAGCCCCTTGTAACTGGGTCAGTCTCTCTCTGGAAAGTAAACTTCTCTGGGTACGTAACCGCTTAGTCAACCGGTTCTCAACCTGTGGGTCATGACCTCCTCCTCGGGCTCCAATGACCCTTCCACAGCGGTCATCTAAGACCATCGGATAACACAGATATTTACATGACCATTCATAACCGTAGCACAATCGCAGTTATGTCCGATGTGACAGTGAGTCCCGGGCTGGGCAGGAGGACAAGGATGGGGTGCCCTATTGCGGTGTCGGGGAAGCAACGAAACAACTTTATGGTGGGGGTCACTACAACAGGAGGAACTGTATTAAAGGGGCGCAGCATTAGGAAGGCTGAAAACCACTGCCTTAGGACCCCGGCTCCCCTCTCCCGGTGGTGGCTCCAGCACTAATAGGGAGCATTTAATTTCATTCCCATTGGCTCCTCAAGCTACCAGTGGAATCCCATCCACATGGCTCAGCGGATAGTGACTGGACCCTGCTCTTGTACCAAATTCTGACACCGGGTAGACACCCCTCCCCCAAAGTCAGCTCCTGGAATCTGACGGGGTGGGGGGAGCTGCCTGCTCCAGGACAGCCATCTTGGGGGTGTTCTAGCTTGCTTTTCTGTTGCTGGGATAAAACATTCTGACCAAAAGCAACTTGGGGAGGAAAGAGTTTATTTCCCCTCCTAGATTACAGCCTATCACAGACGAGAGAAAGTAAGACAGGAGCTCAAAGCAGAAGCATGAAGTAGAAACCATGGAGAAAAGCTATTTGCTGGCTTGCTGCCAGGCCCGGTTCAGCTCTCTAATACGGCCCAAGCACGCTTGCCTAGGGATGGAACTGCCCACTGTGGGCTGGGCCTTCTCCATCAATTAACAATCAAGAAAAATGATCCACAGACACGCCCACGGGACAATCACATCCAGGCAATTTCCCGAAGGAGGCTCTCTCCTCTTGGTATGTCAAGTTGACCACCAAGATTAGCCATCACAGGAGGACATGAAATAAACACTCTGGAGTCTGGGACAAGAGAGCCCTCTTCACTCACGTGGTCTGCTTTCAACAAGCTTAAACAGCACATGCAGTTCACACACACACACACACACACACACACACACACATATATATACATATATATATATAATGTATAATATAATACACACCGTGCCATCGTCTGTAAGGGTGTGCTGGCCAGCAACTTCCCGACTATAGACCCCACCTAACTGAAAACCCCATTTCTGAGACCGGACTCCTGAGGGACAGGAACCTGGAGATGGAGTTGTGGGTCACAAATGGTAGAGAGGAGCAGCCAGGACACCGGGATCCCCCCCAGCTCCTGACCTGGGAAACTTCTCTGCCTCCGGAACCACGGGCTCAGAGAAGAAACAAAGTGAGCTTGCCTTCAAGCCCAGACTGGCTTCACAGTAAAAGACTTGGGTTTCCGCTAAAAATAGGAGCCCCACAGAGACTTGAACTCTGATCGCTGGACTCCCAGTCTAGAGTGCACACCATTACACCATGACTGATTTCTTAGTTGGCTGCAGGTATGTAAATCCATTCTTGGCCTCCAAGAACTTCCTCCTCAAGTGTTTATCTTTGTCAGACTGGATCCAAGCACGATAGACACACAGGAGTTGTCGCCCCCGCTCACGTCCTCGCTGCCTGATCTTTAGGTTTGTAATCTCCCTGAATGAGATCAAATCCTTTTTGGGGACCGGACACAAAGAAGGGCGTTTTAGGGCCGCCAGTACGGCTCCTATCCGGTCCACGTTGCAGGAGCTTTCTGTTCCGAGGTAAAATTCCTGCCCCAAGCATTCCTTGCGTTTTTTTTAGAAGTTGTCCGCATCTCATCTCTCACGCAGTCACTGATGATGCTCCGAGCAGGATCGGACTTCACTGGATCCGAGTCTTCCCTACCCGCCTCCTTCTCCCTCCCCTCACCCCCAATTCCTTTTCGGGTCTTTTATCTCCCACTTGGCTTTCTTCCTGCCTTCCCCTTGTCACATTCTCCACAGGTTCGTCCAAATGTCTGTCCTCTTATGCACTTCTCTTTTTCCGAGAGAAGGGGTGGGGGACGGGAAGAGGGATAGTGATTCAAAGTAGGATGGGCTACAATCTGAGAAGGTGAAGAAGAACGAGAGTCCCTTGTCCCGACCTTTTGGGTGAACCTCAAACAGGCAAGATCCTGCCAGGAAAGGTGAAATCTCTCAAAAGTTTAAGGAATTTTCACAACCCTGGAGTCAGTCTCTTCCTTGCCGGCGGAGTCCCAGGGAGCAAGGGTAGAGGCGCCCCCTGGCGGACAGCTGGGGACAGCGCACAGAACGCGGCTTCGCTTGGGCTGGTCCCCAGTGAGACCCGCCTAGAGGCTTGTGCAAAGAAAAGCTAGGGTTGCCCTAATTAGAGGCGAAGATTGGAGGAGGTGTAGGCACTCAGCTAGCTCTGGTCTCTTTTCTCACCTTCAGGTGCCCGCAGCCTCCGCGCTGCTGTCTCCCGGGGACCCTGGGAGCCTCTGGACGCCGAATCCCCATGATGGGATGAGCCAAGAGCCGCTCCCAAGAGTGAGAGCTGCCAACCCCAAGAACGAAAACGACAATGACGTGGTGGGAGTGGAGGCCGCAGCTGCTACACATCACGCTGTGACCTTGGTATGCTACATACGACCTCCAGAGTGGTGGTCGAGAACAGACCTAAGGACTGGACCTAAGGAGAGAACGGGACCCTACGCACCCCACCCCCCACCCCCACCCCAGCCCTCTTGTCCTCCTCTTTTCCTCTCACTCTCTTCTCACTCCGGAACCACTCTTCCACCCGAGGTGGCCTCTCTAACTTTCTTGCTTCACATCGCCCACGCCCTCATGCGACGTGGTGCTAGGTGGGAAGCACGTTCCGGTTTCAATAGGGCACCCTCTAGATTTTCCAGGGAAATTTGGTTCAACCGCGGTAGGGAGGCTTTAAAGAATACACACTTTTGAAATACACACTCTCCAATGTGGGGACTCCTCGGTATTAAAACTCAGAAAGACTAAGTGGGAATCTGTTATTTTAATATTTGCTTATTTATTTTTTATTTGTGTGTAAGAAGATGTCGGGTTCCCTGGTGATGAAGTTACAGGCAGCTGTCAGCCACCTCATGTGGATGCTGGGAACTGAACGCTGGTCCTCAGCAAGAGCGGCAAACATGCTCAGTGGCCAGCCATCTCTTCAGCTCCCTTAGTGACATTTTTGATCCCCCAGGAACTCTTTCATGGAACACCTCCTGGGTGTTCTTAGGTGCCAGGCCCAGGTCTCTCCCCAATGCAGAGACCATGCATCTTCTCCCCTCAGTCTCCCCGTTCCTTCAATCACAGCATCAGCTCGAAGTAGGTGGCTTATACAGCACCATATCAGAAGTCCGTAATCTCGTTAGAACCATTCATATCGGCAAAGTAAGGTGGTTTATACAGCACCATATCAGAAGTCCAGAGTCTCATCAGAACCATCCATATCGGGCGTGGATGAGGTTTTCTGAGTGTATGTTACGGTTCTGTCCTGGAGAGGGGCAACTTTCTTGCCCGCAGCTTCCTTTCTCTCTTTCCTTCTTTTTTTTCCCCCCTTGTGAAGTCCAGTCTGACGCCAGAGTCATTGTGCAACCGAGGGTGGCCTTGAACTTTTTTTTAATAAAAATGTATTTTTTTTTATTTTGTGAGTATCTACATAAGTTATAATGGATTAAATGATTTTAAAATGTTTGCAATGAAAATAGGAACAGAAGGTGTTGGGGAATATGGGGTTATGGAGCTAATAAATCATGGCTCTCAGACAGGCAAATGATTGAGAAGCCACGACCTTTGTCCTCTTGGAAATAGAGCAAATCAGTATCTGCTTCGCTGTTCTTTTTGCCCTATCCATGCATATAAAAATCTCTTCTAAGTTAATGAAGCTCGGTGGGTACATCCGCTGAGCCCTTGTGGCATCAAGCATTGGCCAGTCCATACTGAAAGGAGACTGAAATTCTTATACTTTGGTTGTGAGCCTAGCCTTTAATGGCTGAGCTGTCTCTCCAGCCTGAAGTCTGAAATTCTAAATCCAGCAGGCATCCTCGGCTGGAGACGCCAACAGCAGGTACCACGAGCCCCAACCTAGGAATGGGAAGGTGGCAAGGAACACTTGAGACAGTGCTGGACTCTCTAGATCCTGGAAACCTGGGACAAAAAGAACCTGAAGACTCTCCTAAGACAGTGCCCCACAGTTGAAGGTTGGCAAGTGGTATTCACTGGTCATCATTAGAGAGCCACACAGGGAGGAGCCAGAAAAGCATGGATGATACAGCATTGGGTGGTACAATGGCTGTCCTTGGTTACCAACTTGACTACATCTGGAATTAACTAAAACCCAAGGGGCTGGATACACCTGTGGTGGGGAGGGTTTCTTAATTAAAATCATTCAAAATGGGAAGACCCACTTTTAATTTGCATCTTTTGAGGTGGGAAGATCCACCTTTAATCTGGGCCGCACCTTCTAGTGGCAGCCTATATGAAGGGCATTCGGCTTTCCCATTAAACCTCTCTAGAAAGCTCCTTCAATGGCAAACATGGAAGTATGTCTCCTAGGTGGTTCTAAATCCAGCCAAACAAACTGAAGATCAACCACCATATTCTGTGTTTTTCTGAGACAATAGTAGCATTTTAAATGGAGGTCAGGAACGTCTCTAGAACCTCATTAGGTATATCTGCAAACCTGTCAGGATGCAGTATAATGGGAGAGGCCAGCTTTCAAGTCTGGTTGACCCAGTCCTCATGACTTCATGATGGCATATATATGGTCAGTGACCCACAGCCACATCTGCTTTACTCACAGCTCAGGTAAATGCAGCCACTGAACTTGGAGCTTTCCTGCTGAATACTCATCTCATAAAACCCAGGGGAACCTGGAAGCTGAGAAAGTGAAGCGATGGTTCCAAGCCTCACCCTCTTCCTGCCTGCCTCTCATGCAAGATTGACAGGGTTTAACATGAAGGGTTGATTCAACTGATTGCTTTCACGCACCCAATCATGCCAGGGCCTCCCAGTGTGGTTGTGTGCTGTGGGATCACACTTTTGTACACCGGTTTAATAAAATGCTGATTGGCCAGTAGCCAGGCAGGAGGAACAGGTGGGATAAGCAGACAATGACTGCCTGGCTACTGGCCAAGCAGCATTTTGTTAAACCAGTGTACTAAAGCATGATTCCACAGCAGTTGTGTGCTGTTGCTGTGCTTGCACACATAGAGTGATGGGGTCTCCGAGGGATCCCCCAGATCCACCTGCTGTCTTATGTACAGTAGGAACTCGGGCAAAGGTGCATACTGCACCTACATACTTCACCTTAGGGATTTCACAGTGAGGAAGGCAAGTAGACCTGTAAATACATAGTGCCGTTGTGATGGTTTTAAGGCCAACTCACCATTAGCTAGAATCACCTCCATAGGGAGCCTTGACTGAAGATCTATCTGCCCTGGTTGCCTTGATTATATGGGAAGATCCATCCTGAGCATAGAAGTGCCTTCCGGTAGCAGCCCAGGTAAGGAAGAGTGTGGCAGAAGGAAGACTATCTGCCCTCTGCTCATCTGGCCTTCCCGCTTGCCATCAAGTTGCTTTACCACATTGCTGCAGCTGCCAGTTCCTTCCTGATATCAGAACGAGCATTTCTGAACTTCCACCGTGGACCAAGGACCTACTGCTCTCTAGGAACTCTTCCAGTGTTGGCACCAGATTGGGATTACTGAGGCACCTGTGGTGACTGAAGGAAAATGGCCCCCATAGGCTCATAGGGAGTGGCACTATTAGGAGATGTGGCCTTGTTGGAGGAAGTGTGTCACTGGGGTGGGGCTTCGAGGTTTCAGAAGCTCAAGCCAGGCCCAGTGGCTCACTCTCTCTTGCTGCTGACCTCAGATCCAGATGTGGAACTCTCAGCTACCTCTCCAGCACCATGTCTGCTTGCACACTGCCATGCTTCCCACCGTGATGATAATGGACTAAACCTCTGGATTGTAAGCCAGCCCCAGTGAAATGTTTTTCCTTTATAAGAGTTGCCATGGTCATGGTGTCTCTTCACAGCAATAGAAATTCTAACTAAGATGGCACCCATCCTCAGCTGTAGGTTCTCAGTCCCTCAGGTGAGAGGCAGCTGTGGTTACTATTTTAGTGCAAGCTGAACTAATAGATTACATATGTACATATATGTATTCATCCTATAGGTTCTGTTCCTGTAAAGAACCCTGACTAATGCCAAGAATATTCAAAGAAAAAAGCCTGTAAAGTACAAGAACTCTTGTAATCTATAGGTCTCCAGGACCCACCCTCTCTAGCATAATTAGCATTCAAAATTATTGTGTAGTGCCAAGCACTTACTTTTGAAGAATTCAGGAGACAGTCCCATAGCATATCTGTCAATGTTCTAATAACCTTTTATTCACTGAGTTTTAATTATGTATTTTCTGTAGTGGAATGTCCTTCTGTATGCTATGAATGTGTGTTGCTCTCTTTGGTTGATAATAAAGCAGCTTGGCAATGGCAAGGCAAGATAAGTTTAGGCGGTACAATCAAAGTGAGGATGGAGATGAAGAAGGGCAGAGTCAAGGGAACGCCAGCCAGCCACCATGGAAACAAGATGGGTAGGAAATGAGGTAACTAGCCACAAACCATGTGGCAAAGCACAGATAAGAAATATGGGTTAATTTAAATGTAAGAGCTAGCTAGTAATAAGCTTGAGTCATTGACCAAGCATTTATAATTAATATAAGCCTTTGAGTGGTAATTTGGAAAGTGACTGGCAGGTACAATTGGACATATGGGACAGAAAGCTCTGCCACCGGTTACATATAGCACTCCAATGTGACACATGTACATCTGTGGTAGTAATCTAATTGTACTGAAATGTGATTTTGATTGTATGTTAATAAATAAAGTTGCCCAGGGGTCAGAGCTATTAGAGCCATAGACAGAGTGTGGCGGTGGTGGCACACGCCTTTAATCCCATAGATCTCTGTGTGTTCAGGGATACAGCCAGCATTGGAGACATATGCCTTTAAGACCTAGGGG